GGGGGGGGGGGGGGGGGGGGGGGGGGGGGGGGGGGGGGGGGGGGGGAATGCCACTGGTTTTGCCACAGCTCTGATTGACAAGGCTTAATACGCTGCGTGTGACCCACTTTTCGACTTGCTTTGTCATGTTATTTGGGTTGCTTGGCAACAGACAGCACCTTCTTAAAAAGGCTAAGAGGGGCCCTGCTGAGACCAGGTGTTCCTGCTGCATGTCCACAGAGGCGCTGGACTTCAGTCCAGCCTCTGCCTCATTCTTCAGGAGACCTGGTGGGCTGCGGGGCGTGGCCCCATTTCCCTGTCCTGGCCCTGTAGAAGCAGCTTGCCTCCCTTGGCCCCAGAGAGACTTGAGAATGTCTCCCCCACAGGGAGCACCTGGAAAGCAGCTTTCCCTAAGAATCGCCAAGCTGCTCCTTTCTCTCCAGGTGCATCCCCGGAAGCAGCCACACAAGGGCAGAGTTCTTGGGTATGGTAGTGTCATTTTTTATATGAACTCAAGCCAAGCCATGGGGCTTTCTCTTCCATCTTCTCCAGGTTTCTGCCAAGATCATGCAGAGACCTGGGAAGCAGCCGCCAGGTTTAAATCCAAGATGGTACAGTGGGGGAAATGTTGGTTTAGGACTGGGAGCCCCAGGTTCACTTCCATCTTCAGCCACTGAAGCTCCCTGGGTGGCTTTCTTAAGTAGGACTGGGTGATCTCAGCCCAGCCCACCTGCCAGTTTTGGTGACAACCCAGCTGTGCAAGGGCCTTGTGACCCTGCAGATGGTGGGCCTAGGAAAGCCTTGCCCTTCCCAGTTGGTGGCTTTCTTTCCACTCTGCCCGGGACCCTCATAGCACAGGAGGCTAGTAGTCTTTGCAGGCCTTTTACCCTCCTGCTCTCAGCTGTCCTTGCCTGAGAAATGGGACTCCAAGACCTGAGAAGCTGCAAGCTGCTGAGCCTAAAGGGGCCTGGAGCACTTGAGGGCTGTGCTGGGCGGGAGGGTGCCTGCCTGCCTCTTGCTGCCTTTGAACCTAATCAGGAAGGAGCAGAAAACCTGGCTGCCCACCCCCCCCCTCACCCCCCCGCCGGATGGCCTTCAGGCTCTGCTTTCCCTTGGCCCCTTTGCAGCGAGTGCCACAACTCCTCGGATAGAATCAAAGTGCGGGTCTGGGACGAAGACGACGACATCAAGTCCCGAGTCAAGCAGCGGCTGAAGCGGGAGTCTGACGACTTTTTGGGGCAGACCATCATTGAAGTCCGGACGCTGAGCGGAGAGATGGATGTTTGGTACAACCTTGGTAAGTTGTTCCTGTGGGCAGCGTTTCATTTCAGGGGAAAGAGTCAAAAAGCTTCACAGAAGAAAGTGGTGGCAAATCAGTGTGGGGCTATGTCCACAAAGGATCCTGGAGTCAAGCTCAGCTCGAGGGGTCCTTGACTGGAGTGGCTTAACTGAGAAGCAAAAAGGGACAGAGGTGGAGTCTGGAGGATCAGAGGGTGCCTCGTCAAATGCTGAGATGGTGCAAGTTGGTCCCCCCTTTACAGAGAGCCCCTTACTGTTCTGGACCTCAGGGCAGGAAATCTCCTGGCTGGAGTCAGAAAAGCAGCCTGGCTGGAAGGAGGCGAGAGAGTTTCAAGGGGAGGGGAGGGTCTCCTTAAAGAAGAAAGCTGAAGACTACTTGGCCCAGGGAGCCCCCTTGCAGACCCGGCAGCCCAGGAAGCTGGGATGCCCTCCCCTCCCCTTCGGCTCTCCTGCCCCAAGTGCTGCCCACGGGGCCTCTTGGCCTGTGGGGCATGTGGGTTTGAAGCACAGCCGGGGAGCGTGCCCAGTGTCCATTTTTGTCTTCATCACCTTAAGCGAGACCTGACCTTTTAAAAGCCCTTCTGTGTCTCAATGCCTTATGTGAGTTTGCGTGTGTTTGACACTGCTCAGTAGCCCTCCCGAAGCACTTTGGCAAGGGCCTTGATCAAAAAATGTGTTCTGGGAAATCTCCCTTGGAAAGGGAGCAAGTTTTAACATTTTGCGTAGAGCTGCTGGAGCCTATCCAGAGAAGTGCACCTCCCCAACTTGGTGTCCTTCAGCTGCAGTTATGCACAGCCAGCGGCCATGCTGGTCATGGAGATGGGAGGCAGACTCCTTCCCCTTCTAGGGACCCCTGGTTGGGAAAGGCTGCTGGAACGGATCGCTACCCCCTTTCCTGCAAGAAAGAGGGCCCACGGCCTCCAGAGTGAGCTTGAGCAGGGTTAGGCCACTGTTGTGGCAGCCTATGCCAGGCATCTCTCCTGGCCTCCTCGTGGGCTCTCTGGGCTTGTGGTGGGAGGAGAAGAGAGCTGTCCTCCCAGCAGGTGCAGGCAGAGCAAGAGGGCTGCCGCGAGCATCGTCCTGTCCCAGTCCTCCAAAGGCAAAGCTGGAGGAGGAGCTTGGGTTTCTGAAGGACTCGTTCTTTTCAAGCCTCACACCCACAAGGGCACAGGGGACGCAGCATCCTTCTTGTGGGCCAGCCGCATCTTTCTGCCCCCCTTGCCATAGCAGGGGCACCTTCAGCAGAGCAGGCCTGGAGCCCATGTGCTCCTTGCTGCCAGTGGGTCTGCAGCGGCAGGCCGGTCTCCTGAAACGGGGAGAGTAAGGGCTGTGTGCTCCGCCCCAAAACCTGTGTGTGGGCAGGTGGCGGGCCTTTCTTGGGCCGTATCTTCCTCTTAGTCTTTGCTACGGGGGCCTCCTGGCTGGTGGGGATGAGAACATGATGGGTTTTCCTTCCAGAAAAAAGGACAGACAAATCTGCAGTGTCGGGTGCCATTCGACTACAGATCAGTGTGGAGATCAAAGGGGAAGAGAAGGTGGCTCCTTATCACGTCCAGTACACCTGCCTTCATGAGGTAGGCACGACAGCCGGTGGAGCCCTCCTTCCCAAAGGAAACCCCCACGTGGTGAATTCCACTTTGCTGAGTAAGCGTCCTCCAGTTTTGAAAATTCGGGTCTCTGCCTTGGTCCCCTTTTGCTCGTCGCAGCTTTAATGAGGGAAAGCTTTGCTGAGCAGGCTCGAAGCACGGAGACGCTGGTTGGTTCCTGCATGGGTGGTTCAGGGTGGCGACCAGATAATTCCCTTCCGTTAGTGCAAGCACAATCCCTGTGGGTTTGTCACTCTGGCCGGTCATGGGCCATCCTGTCCAGAAAAGCCAAGGTTATCGGTCCGATGCCTGTTTAATGCACAGAGACGTAGCTTTGGGCTGCCTCACCTCTGCGGTAAAGCAACGCCCTGGTTCTGGCCGTGCTGCTCAGCTGCAGCTCTTTAAAGAAGGGGAGATTCTCTTCTCATGGTGGAGGAAGGACGGACAGACATGTTCTAAAAGCTCAGACAAAGAGCCGGAGAGAAGGCAGAGCAGAATCCATTGGATGCCAATTTTGTGTATTTAAAGAAGGTCTGGCTGAAAGTGCTCCACCACCATCCTCGCCACCCCCACCCCGCCCCACCCTGGTGCATCTGTTCAGTGGTCAAAGCTCAAGAGCAGATGAAATCTGTTCAGGGAGCCTGACCAGCTAGGAGCTCAAAGAGGTTCCAGTCAGCAGGGGTGTCATGAGGAGATCCCTGGCTTAACCGTGGCGACACCCCAAAAGTAGGGGATTGATCAATGGCCAACAAAGCCACATGAGTGGCTCTAGTGACGGCCCAGAAGTGGTAGCAAAATCAATAAGCTTTGGAAGAGAACCACAAAGATGGTAAAGAGCAGTACGTGCAAATGGGGTGGGAAAGGGGGAGGGGAGCAATCTGAATGTTGATTTCCAGGTATTTCAGAGCACAGCAGGCAGCCTTCCTCCTCCTCTTCTTCCACCTGAATCCACAGTAGGTGACTATGCCAGGCTTATCTCTGTGTGTCCCCTCGGCCTTGCCTTGGTTCTTCGGCCAGAGGCAGCAGGTCACTTTTTTGAGAACCTCTTTGGGGTTGTCTATATGTTTCCGTTCCAGAACCTCTTCCACCACCTCACAGATGTCCAAGGAAATGGGGTGGTGAAGATCCCTGATGCCAAAGGAGATGATGCCTGGAAGGTTTACTTTGAGGAGACAGGCCAGGAGATAGTGGACGAATTTGCCATGCGCTACGGAATTGAGTCCATTTACCAAGCCATGACGTGAGTCCCTGACTTACACCGAGCCCTTCGCCTTAGCCCCGGATGCTGCTTGTGGATGCAGTGAAGTCAGCCCGAGGCCAGGGCGAGGTCCTCAGAATTCTGGAGGCTGGAGACCCGTCAGACGTTCTGTGCAAACACCTCCTGCTTGAGCTCTGCTGCTGGTCGATGCAGAATAGGTGGAAAGGACGGCCTTTCTCACCCTGGCTCCAGATGACCCTTTGCCCCCTCTGGAGCTGCAGGAGAATAGCGCTGCCGAGAGAGAGTAGAGAGCACAAGGGACTTTTCTTCCTCTTGCGGCTGGCTGCAGGGTTCCCGTTTTGCAGACCCCCTTAATTCCTTTGGGCTCATCCTGCCATCCTCAAGAAGAAAGTGGCCGTCTTTGTGTTTTCTCACTTCACTGCTTTCCAGAAAGTGCAAAGAAGAAAAGCCAAAACGCTACACTCCTAAAATGGTTTCACTGGCATTTGGGCCGGGGGGTGATTAAAGTCAGCAGTCAAAGGGAAAAAGCAAGGTGGATAAGGGAAGATAGTACTTAGAAAGGAACTGCACTGCGAGATGCATCAGGAGAGAGCCACGCCCTCATTAACAGAGCTGGCACTACCAGGCACAGTAGGGGGGAAGGTGTAGGGGAGCTGTCACTGTTTTTGACTGGGCCCCTGGCTGGCAGCAGCTTGTGCTCTGACGCAGCCTCGCTGAAGCTCTTGGCTTGCTCCTCCCGCCAGAGGCAGCGTCCTGGAAGGAAGGCTGAGGCTGGCGGCAGGGCCAGAGAGACGGGTCCTAGAGCTGCTTTATGGCTTCTGCACGCTGTCCAAGAGACCGTAAAGTCTAGCAGGGGTAGGTGCTAGACCCTAGGAAGGTCTCACTCCCCTGCATATGCTCAGAGCTTGCTTTCTGTCAGAAGCAGCAGAAGCTGTCACAGCTGCAGCCTGCAGTTGTTAGGTGGAAGCTGGCTTCAGATCGCTGAGTTTGGGGCAGGCCTCCTGTTGCTCTGCCGATGGGGGAGGGGAGGGGCAGGGGGCTACAGACCATTCTGCGTGGGAGCAGGGGGCTGTTTGAAGAAGCCACCCCATATTCTTGCTTCCTCGCAATGTGCCTTCCTCTGCCTGATGACCCTTTGCCTCTGCTTTTCCAGGCATTTTGCGTGTCTTTCGTCCAAATATATGTGTCCCGGAGTGCCAGCCGTTATGAGCACCTTGCTGGCAAACATCAATGCTTACTATGCACACACCACAGCCTCCACCCATGTCTCCGCCTCCGATCGGTTCTCTGCCTCAAACTTTGGGGTAAGTTTCACTCCCTGCTTTCTGGATCCTGCTCGCTGTTCAGCATAGACCAGGGACTCTTTCTGTGGACGGGAGGAATCTGTGGCTTCTTCTACCCCGTGGGTTACTGAGTGATAACAGAGGTTTGCTGGTGAGATGCCAGGGGACTTCTGGGCTGAACTGGGTAAATTAATGAGGGGGCCGGCAGTTAAGTGGATGTTGGTGATACATGCCCAATAATTTAGCAGCCCAGAATGCCCATCGAGTTGTCCTTCGGTTTAAAGCAGAAAAGAAAGCCAGGCTTTCTGCGCAGCAGCATCCAACGTCCCTTCTGTGACTCTGGGGTGCGGAAAGTACATTTGACACCTTCCAAGATCACTCAGGAGTAGGGTGCCCCACACTTGTGTGAGGCTGGATTAGGCAACTGAAGGGGTGGAAGAATTGGCCTTTCAATCTGCAGAAGTGTGTTGCATACATGGAATTGAATTTGCACTCAAAAGTTGCCAATATTTTCACCTCATTTGTGACACCCAGAGATGCAGGAAAGAGATGTGGGAGACCCATTTTTCAAGCCCTCACAAGAAATAGCCACAGATCCCTTTTAAGTTGACGTATGGTCTCTTTTCTCCTGCTGCTAACAGAAAGAAAGATTTGTGAAGCTCCTGGACCAGCTGCACAATTCTCTCCGAATTGACCTGTCGATGTACAGGGTAGGTACCATACCTGGAATGTAGTATTTCTCTGTAGCATTTATAAAAAGACTGTTCTTGACTTTACTGCCATGAACTTTCTTCAGTTGGCCCCTGTTGCAGCGAGGGGGCAAGATCCCTGTACTGCCATTAGCCAGTGTAGACCTGGAGCTGGGCTTTCTGGCTCCCAGGAGCTCCCCGGCTCACACAGCACATTGTGTGGAGTTCTACTACCAAGTGATGTGCTTCATTGACTGCTAGGCATGTTGCTGCTTTTGATCTGTTAAAGTCTTGGATAAAGAGGTAGAGGGAATATTTATCTATTTATACAAATTATTCAGGATAACTAATAGGTAGAATCGGGGTGGGGAACACTGGGTGGGTCCATCCTACTGGCCTTGTGGAGACCCTTCAGAGGCCACCCAGTAAGTAACATCCTGAGAAAGGGCATGGTTGAAATCTTGGAGTCCCTTTTTCAGGGAATAAATAGGGTTCAGAAGCAAATCACAACTATTCCTGCATATAACCACCATCACCCATTGTGGGAATTTGTATGTGTGTAGTGCACGTGCATAAAAACAAACATTTGGTCCTGAGTCCTCTGCTCTTCAGTATTTTATTAACGATCTGGAGGAAGAAAAGAAAGGAGTGCTTATCAAATTTGCAGATGACCTAGCAGACAGAAAAGTAGTTCTTGTGCAGAAGAACCTGCACTAGGAGTTGACTGCAAAATCTGGAAGTATGCTGTGGTTGACTGCAAAATCCAGTGTGATGTGGCTACAAAAAAGCAAATGCAACAGAAGGGTATTTTCCACATCCTAGAAAGGAGTCATTCCGCTTTATTCTGCTTTGATCAGGAGTTCAAGTCCTGTGGACATTCCTAGGCACCTCATTTAAAGAAGAGTTCAGTGAAACTGGAAAAGGTTCAGGGAAGGGCAGCAAGGCTGGTCAGAGGACCAGAAACTCTGTCCTGTCAGGAGAGATTGAAGGAGCTGGAAGTTCAGCTTTGAGAAGAGGCAGCTGAGGAGCAATATGGTAGCTCCCCGCCTTTTTTTTTAACATAGGCCAGAACAAGTTGCTTGTTTGTGACAACCTGCAGTTGGATAGCACTGTATATGTGTGCTGGTTTATGGAAATGTGGCTTAAGAGGGGAGTAGGAAGCTACCAGCCCTGAGGTCTGTGGTGGAGGCATCAGGGAAACATCAGGCAGATGCTTCCAGGAGGCTGGAGAACGTCAGCCTTGGGGGACACCCCAGGAGAGTGAGCTCTCAACTTCAGATTCTGGGTGTGGCCTGCTCAGGGAGCAGTTGTGCAGCCTTGGAGGAGATTACTGATCCAACATGCAGATCAGCTGTGCTGAGGCAGTGGCAAGGTTGGTGAAACCTTGCTGGTTTCATGGTGGTGGAGATGGGAACTGGTGGTACAACAGTAGCCACAGCTACCTGGGAATGTGACGAGGTGCCAAGAAAGAACACCAGTGGGATTGGGACTGGAAGAGCAGTAGTGTTGGCCAGGCCTTGCTGGGTTTTCGACCCCTTATATGAATTTTGGACAGTGGTGTAAGAGAACATCAGCTACTCGGTTTATTTGCCGGTTTTGGCATGCTCTCAACACTTGGCATATCCTAGATCAGATGGAGCATGGGAAGAGGGGATGGAGGTTGAGGTTAACCTTGGACTGGAAATAGTATAGGTGGGGATGAACTGGTTCTCTTGGTGAAAGGTGGGGAGGGCAGTGGCACTCCATGCAGCCTACTGGGGCCCATGGGGGGTGGATGCCTTGGCCCCCAGTTGAGTGGGTTCCCAGTTGAGGGGAGTGTTTATGGGAAGTGGAGGTATGGGCCTGGCCAGAACTTCTCAGTTGTGGTGGGAAGAGGAGGTGTTACAGGAAATGGGGCGAACTGCTCGTGGAGAATGCATATTTGGTGTTTGGTTCTAGTTCTGCCTTCCAGAACTGCCTTCTACTCATGGACTCAGCCCTGGTGCCTGGTCATGGGAACCTCAGTGGCCTAGGTCAACCTGAGATAAAGCCCTCCTCATACATGATCTTCTGAGGGATGAGAGGGCTGGCCTGATATCCATAACCAAGACCAGGGTGGGCACTGAGGTGACTGTACCCCTCTAGAAGATGTGCACACTTGGGTTTCAAGTGTGGCACCAGCCATGACTCCAGTGTAGGCACATTAGAGTGGCTATTATCATTCAGGAGGCTCTTGCAGTTTTCAGAGATGCCGCTCTGCAGATAGACCCTGTTTATGAAGTTGGTCTCTAGGGATCCAGTGGGACTGCTGCTGCTGTCTTGGCCCCTCGCCTGTAGTACTTAATGCTGTAGCGGGGCTGGTAGTGGACCTTCCCAGACTTAAGTGCTGGGAAATTTCAACCTGCCTTCCCTAGATATAGAATCTGAAGTGGCTCAGGAGTTCATGGTTGCCATGACAATTGTGGATCTGATCCAGATCATCAGGGGCCTGACACACACTGGGATCACACCTTGGACCCAGCTTCTGTCTTGGGGCAGCGCCAACATGAGTGGGTTTGGGGGGATGACAGCATATTTCACTAATCATAATTAGATGACTCTCTGATTGCTGTGGAGTTATCTCATGCTGCTCCCCACCACAGGGAGGTTGGACCTGTATTTTTGGTCCTCCACCACAGGTGCCAGGTGGGCTCTTTTGGGTTTCAGAAGGAATGTGGGGAAATTCTTGAGGTTCTGGTGCACACTTCAACTGAAGCCTTAATTGCCTCTTGGAATGAGAGGGTGATGTCCACTTTAGATTGGACTGTGCATACATGGCCTTCCCTGTTCATGGATCTCAGGGTGCCCCTTAGTTCTCAGAGGAGCTCTAGGAGATGAAACAAGATATCCCTGGAGCGCTGCTGGAGGAAGACTAGGAGAGTTCAGTTGGACACAGCTAAGAGCCACATTGTGGCAATAAGAGTGGGAAAACAGTTGTTTTTCTGCTGTTATTGCAGGAGGCAGCCCTGTTTAGGATGACCTGGTCCTGCTTCAGGAGAGAAGGGTCAGAGGAACACCTTGAGAGCCACTGAGGGTTATTCTAGGCATCTGATGGACACAATCGCTCAGATTCACTCTTAGTTGGCTGCACTGAAGCACAGTCTGACTGTCAGGTTCAGCCCAAAGAACTCCAAGAGACAATGCCAATACAGTTCTGTTGCGTTTATTAGCTTCAACCTCAAGACAGAAATCTCACCAGA